GGGTGTGGTTTGGGCTTTGCTTCTATGAAGATTGACAGCCTTGGAGACCCTGTGGGCAGTTCCACTCTGTCCTCTAGGGGCGCTGTGGGTCGGAATGGACTCCACGCAGTGGGTGTGGTTTCTGGGATTTTAATACGGGTTTTGTGTTGAAACACATGAGCCCGGTGTGTGTAAGCGTTGGTGGCTGCTGACATGGTTCACCGGTGCCTGCTTCCTGCAGCATTTGTAAACCCTGGGGAAGCTTGGGTGGGAACTCCGAGAATCGCCCGTGCTGGCTGTCTCCTAGCACTGCCGTAACCCCAGCACCCACATGGGCGGCTTTCAAAACAGACGCTCCCGCTTGCACGGTTCAGGAGGCAGCGTTGACATCCACCCTCAGGTCCAGTGTTTCCTCTTGGGCCGTAGACCTGCCATGACTTCTCGTTTGGCTTCTAGACGCCCCTCATTTGACGTCCATCTTCTGTGTGTGTGTGTATGTATGCATGTGTGTGCACGTGTGACTCAACTTGTTGCACGCTCTAGTTTACACGTGTGTGTGCACACATGTGTGTCTGTGTGTGCTTTTGCGTCTAATCTGCTCTTTCTGTGATTCAGAAGGAACTAAGGTTTAGGACACACCCTCCACTGATAAGGCCCCGTTATCATAATAAAGAATCTTATTTGCAAACAGAACCGCAGGCACAGAGAGACTTTTAGGAGGTGTCCCCCAGTGGCGCCAACAATTCAGCCCTCGGCCGCCAACCAAAAGGTTGCGAGTTCAAATCCACCCAAAGGTGCTTCAGAATAAATGGCTGGCGGTCTGCTTCCAGGAAGTCAGGCATTGTATGCAAACTTCTCATTATTTTTCAACAGTGATAGGAATATATGACTAATATTTCAACAGAAATATCCATATGACTATATGAAGACAAGGGCACTAGTGTTGCAGGGGTTAAAGCACTGGGCTGTCAACCAGAAGGTTGCGGTTCGAGTCCAGCCAGAGCTGCGTGGGAAGAGAGGCGTGGCATTCTGAAAAATCAGCCTTTGAAAACCGTGCAGTTCCACTCCAAGCCGCATGGGGGCGCCAGAGTGGGCGTGGCCTTGACCGGAAGTGCGCCCCCCCCCCCCGCTTTTATAGGGTTAGGATTCCAGCCCGAATCAGAAGGTACGCATTTCCATCCCCGGCAGTGGCCTTCTCTGAACACTGACCCACCCTGGCTCTCTTGTCTCCGCAGACGCCCGACGAAGGGGCCCGGACCTCCATCTATGCGGCTGTTGCCCCGGAACTGGAAGGAGTGGGCGGCCGCTACCTGCATAACGAGGTGGAAACCAGGTCCCTCCAAATCACGTACGACGAGAAGCTGCAGCGGGCGCTGTGGGCGCGGAGCTGTGAGATGACCGGCCTCCCGGACGTCACCGAGGGCTGCATCCAGGCCTAGGAGGCGCAACGTGGGAACCTCGTGTGGGCGGCTCTCGGAGCCCCCAGG